TATCCAGTGGCACGCCCCCCCCCCCCCTTTATAAAAAAGTTATTTTAATATTTAAACTTTTAAAATAACTTTTATGAGTTTTATAAAACTATATAAAAGGACAGATACTACTTTGAACAGGAGAACTTAAAGTAGCCTATAGGTTGTAATGTGTAAATTATTTTGCGTGTAAAACATGTTGCATTTCATTCGTTCGTTGCATTGTACAAGCATTCGCATACTAATACTATAATATTATACCTAAATAATATTCATTACAATTTAGGGCGGATATTATGCAAATTGAGATGCAGGGCGCATCTGCGTCTCGTTAGCCATGGCATCGTTAAATCAATCAGTGGGATACCTGTGCTTGCTTCTTTTTACAAAGAAGTGCAATTCGCAGTTCAATGTTGGATAGCCTCAAGTCATCCTCCACCTGGAGCCGATTTCGGTACTTTGTTTTCAAAGCCGTCAATTTTGAAAACCCGGCCTCACACAGATAAGTTGAGACGAATGGAAAAAGTAATTTTACGCATCACGCTCAACCAAAATGACGGCAGAGAGGAAGAGCTGTAGAGGTGTCGCAATCTAGTGTCGCTCTTTAATTCAACTAACTCCTCCCCCATGTCAACTGGAAGGTCTTTTCCTGGGCAAATTAACTGAAATCCTCAGTGAAATAACAGATGAATTGTTGTTTTAGTCCCTCAATATGTTGAGCGACTGTGCTAATCAAAGGAGAAATATTTATCCCTGTCTCTTGCACACAGTCGGCGAAGTTGGGAAACATGTCAACATTTTTATTAATCAGCCGATCACACCAAATATCCAGTTTGCCAATGAATGCACTGACTTTGTCTGAAAGGAGCAAGATGTTGGCATCTCTCCCTTGCATCAATGTGTTCAGTGAATTCAACCTGTCGAAAATGTCTACAAGGTACGACAACTGCGCTAACCACAGGGGGTCATCAAGGTAAGGCAAGGTCGGACTTCACATTAACAAGAAATGTCTTCACCTCTGAACACAATTCGTAGAGGCGATGTAAAACCCAACCTCTGGAGAGCCAGCGAACCTCAGTGTGAAAAAGGAGCTGCTCTTGTTCGACTCCCATTTCCTGACAAAGCAAGGAAAACAAGCGTGCATTTAATGGCCGTGCTTTAATGAAATTGACAATTTGCTTATACCTAAATAATATTCATTACAATTTAGGGCGGATATTATGCAAATTGAGATGCAGGGCGCATCTGCGTCTCGTTAGCCATGGCATCGTTAAATCAATCAGTGGGATACCCGTGCTTGCTTCTTTTTACAAAGAAGCACAATTCATGGTTCAATGTTGAGTTCAAATGCCTCAGGTCATCCTCCACCTGGAGCTGATTTCGGTACTTTGTTTTCAAAGCCGTCAATTTTTAAAACCCGGCCTCACACAGATAAGTTGAGACGAATGGAAAAAGTAATTTTACGCATCACGCTCAACCAAAATGACGGCAGAGAGGAAGAGCTGTAGAGGTGTCGCAATCTAGTGTCGCTCTTTAATTCAACTAACTCCTCCCCCATGTCAACTGGAAGGTCTTTTCCTGGGCAAATTAACTGAAATCCTCAGTGAAATAACAGATGAATTGTTGTTTTAGTCCCTCAATATGTTGAGCGACTGTGCTAATCAAAGGAGAAATATTTATCCCTGTCTCTTGCACACAGTCGGCGAAGTTGGGAAACATGTCAACATTTTTATTAATCAGCCGATCACACCAAATATCCAGTTTGCCAATGAATGCACTGACTTTGTCTGAAAGGAGCAAGATGTTGGCATCTCTCCCTTGCATCAATGTGTTCAGTGAATTCAACCTGTCGAAAATGTCTACAAGGTTCGACAACTGCGCTAACCACAGGGGGTCATCAAGGTAAGGCAAGGTCGGACTTCACATTAACAAGAAATGTCTTCACCTCTGAACACAATTCGTAGAGGCGATGTAAAACCCAACCTCTGGAGAGCCAGCGAACCTCAGTGTGAAAAAGGAGCTGCTCTTGTTCGACTCCCATTTCCTGACAAAGCAAGGAAAACAAGCGTGCATTTAATGGCCGTGCTTTAATGAAATTGACAATTTGCACTGCCTGCTTTAAAACGGCCTCAAGAGACTCAGGCATTTGTTTTGATGCGAGAGATTTACGATGAATCATACAGTGGGTCCACTTGGCTAAAGGGGCTAAATTCTGGACACGAGTGACAAGACCGCTAATCCTCCCAGTCATTGAACGGGCCCCGTCCGTGTAAATCTCAACACATTTATCCCATGACATGCCTGCATCCCGTATATATCCATCCAGAACTTCAAACAATGCCTCGCCAGTTGTGTGATCTGGACGAGACCGACAGAAAAGAATGTCCTCCTCAATATTACCATTTTTGACATAACCTGACATAGGTAAGCAACTGTGCTAGCCCTGCAACATCAGTTGTCTCATCAAGCTGTAGTGCATAGTACTGGCTTTGCATGATGTTAGCTAGCAATTGGGCTTTAACGTCACTTGCCATTGCAGATATGCGGCGGCTAATGGTGTCGTTAGAAAGGGGGATGTCACTAATCTGCTGAGCGAAATTATCTCCAAACATGACCTGACAAATAGCTTTGGCAGCAGATAAGATTAGCGCCTCGGCAATTGTGTGAGGTTTTCCTACTTTAGCAACTCGTTTAGTGATGTAGTAGGACGCTTCTAGACACCTGTTGGACACTTATGTGTGTTTGCTGATGTTGCGTTTCTGCTGTTCAAGGCCAGATAACTTTAATTTGAAAAAATCTAAGGGTTTATCTTTGAGTGTCGGGTGTTTTAGTTTCTAAATGGTGCTTCAGCTTGCATGGCTTCATGCTGTCATTTGCCAGCAGATCTGCACATATGACACACTGTGGCATCGGTTCAGCATTTGTCCCAGCCACCGTAAAGCCAAACTGAAGATAGCTAATGTCGTACTTTCGTGTTTTACACTTCTTAGGGGTAGGAGCTAACGACACATTGTCGTCACAACTCCTTTTCGTACGTGTGATGAACTTATCCATAAACTTCCCAAAATCCGTTCCGCTGCTAGTCACTGACGTTCTGAAA